GGACTCTATGACCTCTCGAGGTCCCTTCCAGTCCTATTATTCTATGATTCTATGATTCTATGATTCCCCTCCCCCAGACTAGATCCAGGCAACCCCCAATTCCCTGCTCTAATCTAATTCTCGGGTCCCAGAGCTGCTACCACTACAGCCACGTGTCTCCCTCCAGGCGCTGGGGCATGTGCGCTGAGCAGCTGGCACACTATGAGCACCCCCTCCTTTCCCCTCTCCTCATCTCCCCTTTCCTAGAGCCAGACACCTCCCTTCCATACCGCCGCACCTGGAGCCACTGCCACTGCTGCTGCCTGTGCTCACCCAGCTTGCACATGCAGGATATGACGTAGTGCACTGGGGGCCGTGAGCACAACGGTGTGGGCCGTGAGCATGCATGCGGCTCACAGCGGCCCAGCTGTAAGAGCAGCTGACCTCAGCGGTTTCAGGTTCTGTCCCAGTTCCATCAGAGGCTAAAATTTTTTTCTGTGGCTCATGAGCCATGGATTGGCCACCCCTGCCTTAGAGAATGAGGAGGAGACAAAAGGAGGCAGAGATACCTGTGCAGCTCGTCGAGTTCGGGCATTCAGTAACCTGGGGCTGAGTTGGTTTCACTTTTTGCCCTGTGGACAGCATGTGCACTGAGGGATAAAGTAGGGTTTGTTGGTATTTCAAACCTCTAATACCAGTACTTTATAAATTGGCCAAAAACTAAAAACTCAGTAATTTGAATAATTAGAGCCCTGCAAATCTGCAAAAATCTGTGGCTCATTTTTCCTGATACAAATGCAGATGAGGATACACATTTTGGATCTAGAACCATGCAAATTTGTGCATGTCTGCTTTGCGTCTCTGGATGTGGATATATAGGGATCATTTTTGCAGATGCAGGAGTGGATACCAATTTTGTATCCGCACAGGGCTCTATGACTACTTAGCTCTCCTGGTGTTTCTCTGGATTTTGAAGTCTTTAATCAGTCCCCTGCTGGTATGCATATGTCTAACTGATAGGACTGTCTAGCTGTAGACACTACCTATGCCAAAGACAGAGGGTGTCAGTGTATCTATCTATGTCCCTGACCTAGTGCTGTTTACATTATTACCGACATCTCTTGGGAGTGTGGATTTTTCACATCCCCAAGCAACTTCACCATGTCCCTGACCTAGTGCTGTTTACATGATTACTGACATCTCTTGGGACTGTGGATTTTTCACATCCCCAAGCAACTTCACTGGGTCAACATAATTTTTAGCACAGAATAGCCTGGCATTTACTCTAGCTTCCCACTCTGATAACATACCTGAATCCCCTCTATGGAGACAGGAATGTGAATGGACCTATGAACTGAAATGCACCCTAATCACTGCAGGAACCAATAAAAGAGGAATATTTGCCATAGTAGAGAGCAGGATTCCAGCCCCAGTTTTTGCAATTCTGAAGTGAAGTATGAAACACTGCTTATTAAGAATGTCTGGGAAGGGCTTTGTTTGTTAATAGTGTTTATGTACCTATATGAGGAGATTTCTGAGATGAAATGGCTTTTTAATCTGGCTTCAAGAGACTTAACATGATCCAGTGGCTGCAAGGTGAAGCTAGACAAATTCAAACTCAATAAAAACCAGGTTTCTTAGCCGTCACTGTAATTAACTATTGAAACATTTTACATAGGCTGTGGTGAATTCTACATTACTTGGAAGTCTTTAATTCAGGACATGATGTTTTTCTAAAAGAGATGCTGTAGCTAAACCAGAATGTATAGGCTATATGCAGGATTTATTGGTTTATAATCTATGGCCTTCCAGATGAGATTATTGTAACAGGCTCTGCAGCCCTTAAAATCTCCTATTTGATTACTTTACTGAGTAATAGATTAGATAACAACTGATAATGCCTTATAATGTGTATTTTTTAATAACTGATTTCCAGGTTCATTATTAAGAACTACATTCCAATCTCTGTAACCTCAGAAACTGAAAATAAGTATGTACCATTACTGAGTATGTTAAAAGAATATAACTAGATATTTTATAAAATAGAATGAAAATATAAAGTACCATAATTATATCAAAACCTTTCAGTGAGTTAAATTTAATCTTTTGAGTATTTATATAGCACATAGTTTGCTATTTACCTTTACATGATAAGTGGGTTTCTTGTTCTCTGGCCTTACATGACTCTGGAGTCCATGGGTCTGATGGGCATTGCCACAGGGAGCTGTGCTGCTTATTGCATCGAATATTATCCACCCAGGTATGTCCAGAGCCAGTTCCATATGTAAACTCACTTACGAGAGTCCCACTATCTCCACAGTCTAGCTGTTTGCATATAAGTGCTCTGGTAACTGCATCCATAGGAGTGTTGCAAACGCTGCCCCATGTCCCATTGTAGAAAACTTCCAGACGCCCAGCACAGTCACTGCCATTCACCAGCCTCAGATCTGTGAGCCCTGGAAAGAAATGCAGAGAATTGACCAACTGGCTCTGCTGTTTCCTGATTCTGAAACTCAATGTGGTTTGAAGGTTGAATCCCTGAGATCGTTAGCACATTCTTCTATAGAAGCAACATTCATTTCATGACTCAGAGAGACTCCTCTGGAGACTAGTTACAGGAGTTATTCACAATAGAACTGTTATTTAAAAGACACCATTCACCAACAGTAACACGCAGTAGTACCCAAGATTCAGAATTTTAAAAAAGCTGAGGAAATAGTGTGATATTTCCAGTAATCCTTGATATTAGCTGTTGTCAATGTAGACTTTTTAATAGCAATCTTGGCAGTTGGGTATGTCTTCAAAGGAAGACTAAGAATCATAGAATCATAGAATACTAGGACTGGAAGGGACCTCGAGAGATCATCGAGTCCAGTCCCCCGCCCTCATGGCAGGACCAAATACTGTCTAGCCCATCCCTGATAGACATTTATCTAACCTACTCTTCAATATCTCCAGAGATGGGGATTCCACAACCTCCCTGGGCAATTTATTCCAATGTTTAACTACCCTGACAGTTAGGAACTTTTTCCTAATGTCCAGCCTAAACCTCCCTTGATGCAGTTTAACCCCATTGTTTCCTGTTCTTTCCTCAGAGGCCAAGATGAACAAGTTTTCTCCCTCCTTCTTATGACCCCCTTTTAGATACCTGAAAACTGCTATCATGTCCCCCCTCAGTCTTCTCTTTTCTAAACTAAACAAACCCAATTCTTTCAGTCTTCCTTCATAGGTCATGTTCTCTAGACCTTTAATCATTCTTGCTGCTCTTCTCTGGACCCTCTCCATTTTCTCCACATCTTTCTTGAAATGTGGTGTCCAGAACCGGACACAATACTCCAACTGAGGCCTAACCAGCGCAGAGTAGAGCGGAAGAATGACTTCTTGTGTCTTGCTCACAACACACCTGTTAATGCATCCCAGAATCATATTTGCTTTTTTTGCAACAGCATTACACTGCTGACTCATATTCAGCTTGTGGTCCACTATAACCCCTAGATACCTTTTTCCTATACTCCTTCCTAGACAGGCGCTTCCCATTCTGTATGTGTGAAACTGATTGTTCCTTCCTAAGTGGAGCACTTTGCATTTGTTGGCTGCACCAAGGGCCATGGCCTATTGATATACGATGGGCCTATTTTTTACACCACAGCCTTCATTAGAGTCCTGGAAGAGATTCTGTCATAGTGCAAGCCAATGTTCCCTCTAATTTTTCCATCCATGGGTGGAATAAATTTTGTTATGTGCACTGAGGCATGTACAGATGTGCACCGCCAATAGAAACGCATATTGCCAGCTAGGTGGCATTTTGAATCTCCATTCATGTGCTCCACTTGGGCTTGCACCAGTGTTCCCCATATGACCCTTATTTATACTCCAGCAACACCTAAACTCCAGCTGAACCAGCCCCACAGAGCCCAGTACCCTAAATAGTTCACTCTCTAAACGGACCAGACAAGATAATCTGGGAGGGGAGGCCCAGGCCAAGGGTGGCGAAGTGGCTCGTATAGCCAGCCAGTTATGCACCCACCTTATAGCAGCCCCATCTAAGTTGTATTTGCCTAGTTTATTGATAAGAATATCATGCGAGACCGTATCAAACACCTTACTAAATCTAGATATACCACAACCACCGCTTCTCCCTTATCCACAAGACATGTTATCCTATCAAAGAAAGCTATCAGATTGGTGTGACATGATTTATTCTTTACAAATCCATGCTGGCTGTTCCCTATCACCTTACCACCTTCCAAGTGTTTACAGATGATTTCCTTAATTACTTGCTCCA